AGCGGGCGCCGCGGAGACGCTGCCTTTTCAGTTGGGGAGAGCGGTAGTAATCGGAACATGTCAGGCGGATCCGCGGATTACAGCAGGTAAATTCTGGCGCGGCCGATGAGAAGACGGCCGGGGAGGTTTTTGAGGGGAAGCTTGTTCAGGGCAAGCTTGTTCAGGGCGAGGGTTGTCCGGGCTGTAGTTTGATGAGGACAAGAGGGGTTCTTGGAGGCGACGGCCGCCGCGGGGAGGGTCCCTTTCTGGCTGCGTTTCCTCCTCCTGCCCTTGGGATAAGGATAGATCTTCTCCCTCGCCAGTGCCTCAAGCGGCGTGGTCGGGAACTGAAGGGGGGGCGGGTTGAGGGAAAATCCGACCGTTGGTCTCGAGCGTGCAGTAGATGGCCCGCATTGCCCTCCCTTCGAGCGACCACATGGTTTCTTCCAAGCGGCCGGCGCGGAGCCCCCGTTTGGGGAGGGGGGGGGAGAGAGAGAGAGCGGCCGGTTCGGACGAGTCCATTTTTGTCCGCGGTTGGAGGGGGGAGAAGAAAACAGGGAGGGGCGCGGCTGGTAGGCCTTTGGTTTGCCGGCAGCCTCGTCCGTCACCGGCGTGCGCTCGCTCAGCTTGCGCAAAAGAGACTTCGAGAGGGTGGAGCTCTCGCGAGACTTCGCGGGCTTTTTTTGAGGGTTGGGAGGGGGAGGGGAAGAGAAGGCCCGGAATGGCGCGGAGGTAACGTTCCCCGTCCACGTTTTCCTCCCTAAACTGAAAAAGACGGTCGCCCCTATTGCATACGGGCCTTCTCTCCTTCCCACGTTGAGTTGCCCGTTTTCTTCATTCCACGAATTCTTGTAAGAGTCATTTTGGGGTTCCCCGTGAACACGGTTGCCTGGGCAACCCAATGAATTATTTTAGCAGGTGGAATCCTAAATTGATTGGATCTGCCATGCTGTGCCCCGATTTAATCAAAGGAAATGATACATAAAGGATTGGTGGCAGGCATCTACTTATTTTATTTATTTTGTCAATTATTAGACAGCAGGAACAAATATAAACATAGCTATGAATACATGAAATGGATACATATAAGAAAAATAAAAGCAACAGGGCACATTGGTGCGCTTATGCACAGACCTCTTAGGAAAGGGGTGAGGTCAATAATAGACAGTCTAAGGTTAAAGTTTTTGGGGTTTAAGGGAGAAACCACAGAGTCAGGTAGAGTATGCCAGGCATTGACCACTCTGTTGCTGAAGTCGAATTTCCTGCAACCGAGTTTGGTGTGGTTTACCTTGTGTAATAATACTCTTGTATTGTTTTGATTGAATTATTTGATTAAGCCTACTTGTCTATACACAGTCCACAGCTATTATTGGCTTGCCATTTCTTGTGTGAGGTCTGATGAGAGGTCCTTCTTTACCAAAAAGAAGAAAAAAATAGTAAAATAGAGGGGAAAGTCTCCAGGGTGTTCTTTTCAATAGGCAACTGGACTTGCTTGTTTTTCTTCTTTGAAGAATTGCTTCTCACATTCAGTTCTCCAGAACTGAAAGTTCAGTTGCCTTTTCAAAAAGTACCTACAACTATGACCTGGATGACTGAGAAATTCCATAGATGTTGGGGAAAAGTGTATTCTTTCCTAGGACTAGATTTTAAAGGCAAGAGAAATAGATTTGAACACTTTAAAGTGTTTTGGGGGAATACAACAAAATGTAGCCAAATATTGTATGTAGATAACTGCCAAATATTATGGTAGAAGCAGAGCAACTAAGCTGGTGGTCTGCTGTATTTAGAACTTTGACTTCCCCAGGGATACTATTGGTATCCGAGGTCAATACAGAACATTTGAAAGCTTTTTTTTTTTTTCTCAAAAGAAAGAAGAGTGATGGTTTCCCAATTGCATGCCAAATTGTGATTGAGGCTTAAATATTTCAATGCAGACTGGTTTTCCTAGTGCCAGTGGGACAGAATACATATAGAATTGCAATAACAATTTCCAGTTGCTATCTTTTGTCGTAGGCTATTCTACAGAATAGGGAAGGTACTTTTGAGGGCACAGATAGTCCATAATTAAATCACTCTAAAGGCTTTAGAGTGGACATACACAGTTGTCTTCTCTAAAGGAGGAGTTGACTTATAGTTTGGCCCAAATTTTTTGCTGCTAAATGGGTGTTGCCTCATTTTACAACCTTTCTTGCCACCATTAAGTGAATCAGTTCAAATTAGTAACATGGTTTAGTGGATCTTGCTTCCCCATTACTTTGGTCAGAAGGTTGCAAAGGGTGATCACATGACCCCTGGACACTGCAACCATCATAGTTAATTGCCAAGTGACTGAATTTTGATCACATGGCCATGGAGATGCAGCAATGATTGTGTTGTGATAAGTAACATTTTTCAGCCATTGTAGTTTTGAATGGTCACTAAACAAACTTGTAAACTGAGGACTATGTACATTTTGAGAAATTGTGCATTCCCAATGTACATTACAAGCAAAGTACTACTGATAGTCTTTGACATATGAGCACAATTGAGCCTAAAATTTCCATTGTTATGCAAATCAGTTGTGAGTTTTGCCCCATTTTACAACCTTTCTTGCCATGGTTAACTGAATCAGTTAGTGACAAAATTGTTAAGTGAAGCAGGCTTCCCTCATTCATTTGACTTGTTAGGAGGTCCCACAAAATAATCATGTTATCCCAAGACATTATAACTGTCAAAAATAGTAGCCAGTTGCCAAGCATTTGAATTTTGATCACATGACCGTGGAATGCTGCAAGAGTCATAAGTATGAAAAGGGCTCATAAGTCACTTCTGTGCCTTTGAACAGTCACTAAATGAATGGTTCTAAGTCAAGGACTTCATGTAGTGTGCTAACGCTACAAGTAGATCGATGAGAAACAACAAAAGTTCTTCAGTGGAACTATTATTTTCAGGATTTTTAATGGTATCATTTATTTATTGAATTATATTGTCGCCTATTTGCCCACGGTGGCTTACAGAATGTAAAACCATATTTAAAATTTAAAAAAAAAACAAAAACTAATCAACTATAACTAGTATACTGTCATACGAGTGATTTAGTAATGATAGAATCGCAGTACACTTGACTGTTGACTAGATATGGTCTTAGCAATAATTACGGCATATTTGACAGCTTCCAGATGTGTTATATTGATAAGAATTCAAGAATACTTAAATTTGGTTAACAATGTGTGCTTTTCTTATTTGATAGAGACCATGGCCCCGAGGGAATGGATCCTGATGGTGTCATTGAGGTTAGTATGTTAGTGATAGTAGGGGTTGGTTTTTTTTACAAGCATATGCAGAAAGATGATGAAGTATATTAAAATTTACTTTTTCTTGCAGAGCAATTGGAATGAAATTGTCGACAATTTCGATGACATGAATTTAAAAGAATCCCTTCTGAGAGGAATTTATGCCTATGGTTTTGAGAAGCCTTCAGCTATCCAGCAACGTGCTATTATTCCATGTATTAAAGGTAAGCCACAGTGAATTTTATTTTTTTTTAATAGCAGACACAAAATTTTGATCTGAACTACTCTACCTTGGGTTGAAATACAATTTATATTTCCTTGTGAAGTGAGATGATGGTATTCCATCTTTCGGGACTGACCTAAAAATGGAGACTATTTGTAACTCTGATCACTTGAAAAGGAACTGTATAGTTTAATTGCAACCTTAATGTGTTGTGTGAGAGCAGTAAATATCTATCCTTTTTTTAGGGTATGATGTGATTGCTCAAGCTCAGTCAGGTACTGGCAAGACAGCCACATTTGCTATTTCAATCCTGCAACAGTTGGAGATTGATCTCAAGGAGACCCAAGCACTAGTATTGGCCCCCACCAGAGAACTGGCTCAACAGGTATCGATAATATAGTTGAAAAAGCTGCTTACATGTTGCATAGGTTTCAAGTGTCATAACTGTGACGCAGGATTTTTTTGCAAGTTTGTAATGACTGCTTGTTGCTTTTGGCTTAATAAATATGGAAAAGATCAAGAGATCAGGTGTGACTGAATCAGATAATGGAGTGAAGTGCAGTAATAGCTGTGCAGGAGCTTAAGTGGAAATTGTTGATACAAAATGCAAACTTCTCTGAGGAAAAGTACTCTTAAGAGTGCATGTAGATTCTGCAACATGAAAATACCTGTGTGTATGTAATCAGTTTTTCTCTGTGTGCAAATTGTACTGCGTCAGTCTTTTGAATTCTATTTTGAACTGCGTTTTTGCAGAATTATATTTAAATGTTTATTTTAAAAAATTTTTTTAATTTTTATTGATGTTCAGTCTTATTTTTACAAATAAGGCAGTGAACATACCCAACGAACATTCCTTTTCCTATTTTCCCCACAACCACCCTATGAAGTAAGCTGGACTGAGAGAGACTGACCCAAGGTCACCCAGTGGCTTTCATGGCCAAGCAGGGACTTGAACTCTGGGTCTCTTTCTAATCCAGTGCCTTAACAACTAGACCAAACTGGCGCTCTAAATACTATATTCTGGTGTATATAAATTAGATGATTTTGAGGAGATTGAAAGCCAATTTTACAGCACTCCTGTGCTATGCTTTTGTTTGGGAGGGGAAAGTGTTCATGCAGACTAACCCAAAAAACATTTGTGATGCATCTGAGCATATAGCTAAAATGCAGTTAGATACCTAGTCCCACATTAAGCATGTCCTGCTTGACAAAGCACTAATCCCAAAGTTGTTTTTAGCAGTAAATGGCTTTTTTGATCATGTAAGCTGCATAAGTTGCTATATTATCAACACCCCTGATTTTAGAATGAGGTGTATAGAACGTTTCAAGTTTTTAAGTTCAGAACAGGTATCCTGAACTTATTGGAGATACTCAGCAGTAATGTCCAAAATATTTTTCGGAGAGCTCTTAAGTTGAGAATATTTCTGGTGAGGGGCCTGTTTTTGAACTTGAAATGTTTCAAATTTAAATATTTTGTAGACCTCTACTAGTGTTTATCTAATAAGGAGGGTCAGCTTTATCTTGCTGATTTAACAACTGATAATTCCAAAAGATTATATTGTTTCTGCTTGTCTATAGAGAAGTGCCTGATACTGTTTTTGGCATGGTATCATAATGAGCTTATGGTTCTTGGCTAGCTGTCAGCTTTATTTTATAGAGCCAAAATTCCCTCTTCATGCAGTATCAGTTATGAGTCTACAGATATATTTGTGGGTAGAGAAAGGCTGTCAAACAGAGACTGCTCATCAAATATGAGATATGCCTGTCAGTTTTATATTAAGAGCCGTGGTAACGCAGTGATTAGAATGTAGCACTGCATATTGCAGGTTAAGTCACTTCCAGGAGTCAGATCCTGACCGGCTCAAGGTTGACTCAATCTTCCAAAGACAGTAAATTGGGGACTTGGATTGTTGGGGCAATGGGCTGACATTGTAAACTGCTTAGAAAGGGCTGTTAAAAGCATTATAAAGTGGTACATAAATCGTTTAGTGCTATTACTATATTATGAACCCATTGGGAAACTGGCCAATGGAAAAACGGGAGTAAAATTCTAATTCGGATTTATGTCATTTCAGATCCAGAAAGTTATTTTGGCACTTGGAGATTATATGGGCGCCACTTGTCATGCTTGCATTGGTGGTACAAATGTTCGCAATGAGATGCAGAAGCTCCAAGCAGAGGCTCCCCACATTGTGGTGGGAACTCCTGGGCGTGTATTTGATATGTTAAATAGACGCTATCTGTGTAAGTACTTCAATGCTGATTTAAAATCTCTTAGGGTTTTAGGCATTGGTTTAAACATTCATGATTTTTTTACTTTTAGATAGAAGTAAAATTTTAATAATGCAAAATATTTATAAGAATACTTAGAGTCTGGTTTTTTTTCTTTGTAGCACCTAAATGGATCAAAATGTTTGTCTTGGATGAAGCAGATGAAATGTTAAGCCGGGGGTTTAAGGATCAGATCTATGAAATTTTTCAGAAGTTAAGCACAAACATTCAGGTAAAGTAAAACTTGAGGCACCCATAACATTGGCTGCTGTAATAATGCAGGTAAAGTTACAATGTGGCTGTGAAGTGCTGTGTTGTCGTTCCCCCTGCATAAAACAAAATTGTCTCTATTCTATCTTTGTCTGTTTTGATTTCGTAGCAGACAAAGACGCTTGGTTTCATACATTCGCCTCTTAACCTTTGGGCAGACTAATCCGTTAATTTTCTTGAACCAGGTTGTATTGCTTTCTGCAACTATGCCAATGGATGTGTTAGAAGTGACTAAAAAGTTCATGAGAGACCCTATTCGTATTTTAGTGAAGAAAGAAGAATTGACCCTTGAGGGTATCAAGCAATTCTACATTAATGTGGAAAGAGAGGTAAGGAAGATGATGAACCTATTTGAAGCTAGTTTGACTTCTTGTTAAAAGCACTATGCTAAAACTGCACAGGTTGGGGTATTTCCTTGGCTTTTGTGGTAATGCTAGCACGGTACACACAAGAAGAAGAAGAAATGCACTAAATCAAGTGTGACTTGGGTGGACCTCTTTCTTAATGTCCAGTGTCCTAGTCTGGAGACTTGGTGCAACACTACATAGTGCTTAAAGTTTCATTTTGCACTGTCCTTTTATGTGCTTACGATCGCTTCCTTAATTTCACAGGAATGGAAGCTGGATACCCTGTGTGATTTATATGAAACCTTGACTATTACCCAGGCTGTTATTTTCCTCAATACAAGAAGGAAAGTAGATTGGCTTACAGAGAAAATGCATGCTAGAGACTTCACTGTTTCTGCCCTGGTAAGAATTTATCTGAAGATAGGTTCTACGATACTGTTCAAATGCAAAATGTTGGGACGTGCCCCTTATTCCAGTTCCCTGAGCTGTATCAAGGCTGGTATTGAAAGGCTGAGAAAATACTTGTCTACTCCAACCATACTTCATGAATTTAAATGTAATACGTCAGAAGTCATGTGGTGGTTTCATCAGTTGGTTCTTGTTTTAGGAATTGGTCCTCCTCCAGTGAGTGAACGCCAGATTCTCTTAGAAATAAAAAAAGAAAAAATACTGGATTATGCTTGTGTCTACTGACTGTCCTACCTGCTCAGTTCCTCTTGTCTAGTCCACAATATAACACCGTAAAAGATGCTAGCCTATTTGAAAAGCCTGCGTTTTTTTTTAAATTTGACTAGCAAAATTTGAAGCAATAAAAGCTGGTTAACATTAACTCCCTTTGTGTTATAAAAAAAATCTCTACAGCATGGTGACATGGATCAGAAGGAGCGAGATGTTATCATGAGAGAGTTTAGGTCAGGATCAAGCCGTGTCCTGATTACTACTGATTTGCTGGTGAGTTTCAGTAGTCATTGAGCCTAACTGATTTGTTCGATGTAGGTCTTTGTAACCGGAGTTTCCTAAGTTGTTGGCAAAGCAAATCCATACCAACATTATGCTGTGGACTTGCATAACTGCAGTGTGTTACTATATTATCCAGCCGAATTGAGATACCTTGACCTCCAGACTTGAAGTATGCTGTTCAGTGCTTTGTCTTTGCTTTACAGGCTCGTGGCATTGACGTGCAGCAAGTATCTTTGGTTATAAATTACGATCTGCCAACCAATCGTGAAAACTATATTCACAGGTAAGTTGAATTTTTGAATTTCAGTTCTGAAGTCTGAATCTTCACATCTTCAACCCTCCCTCGCTTTCTTGCATTTTTAACGTGTGTGTTTATTGTGCGCGCGCATAGTGTGTTGAGGATGGGAGGAGCAGAGCTTCTTGATTAGCCAATGAAAAAAAAACAGTGGGAAAACTTGTTTATTCAACTTTTGATAATTGCTAAAGATATCTAAGACTGCTATTTTAATGCACATAGTCAGATGCTTGAAGTTTGCAAACATGCTTTTAAAGAAGTTGCCATTGTGTATTGTGATTTTAGGAAAACATGTTCAGAGGTTTGTCTTTTCATAAAGTTGTTGTTAGCTTAATATTGCTTTATTGGACATTTCTTTGTGCCAATGCCTCCTTTGGTTCCTCTTACAGTGGGATTCTTTCTCTGGTGTCTTCTAGTAGAACTTTAAATTTACCTCCCTAACCTGTTGTCTATCTTAGTGGCTTTGTCCGTAAATGAAGTAAATTGTACCTTATTACTTGATACAAAAAAATACAGGAGTCGCTAGCCCAGTTGATGACGAGATGGTGCTCAGAAACGACGACGTAATTTAGGACGTGGATTCGTAAGCGGCACACTGTTTGCATAAAGAGCGAGTTGGTATTTATATACTTTTCTTTTGTAATGACTGTTGTGAGCTATGTTTGTCTTAAAAAGCTCTTAATGGTTTGACCAGGTAGAAGCAGAAGTTGTGGGTTTGTCAACTTGTAGATCTACTGTGTGCCCTACTGTTTAATTTTTAAGTTGTTTGTTTTGACAGATGGTGATAAGTTTTCCCACTGATGAATAAAAGTTTTTGTCTCTTTGAAAATACAATATTATCTCTTGGCTTTTAAGAACTGCAATTGGAATGAGAGTCTCTCTGATTTAAAATAAGCTTGGTAATTTGGAGGCTGACATCAAGCTCTGTCCGTGTTCAGAAGAAATGGTGTGGGAGAACTTTTTGCCAAAGTTCTCCAAAATAAGGAGAGAATGAGATCAACAAAAAAATTATTTGGAAGTCACATTGAATGTAATATCCTGTCTACACCAAAACTGAGAAGCTGTTATATAATCAAAGTATTAGTCAATATTTGCTATGCTTACTTTTAAAATGCTCAGCCCAACAAAACAGCATAAGAGATTGTAATAACATTAATCTGGCAACGAGTGTCAATACTAGTTTCTGGTTCCCTCACCCCAAAACAGGTTTTGTTATTTGTCAAAAAAGACTAGAGTAATGTTTTATGTCTTTGCTTTGTTTGCAGGATTGGTCGAGGTGGTCGTTTTGGCAGGAAAGGTGTGGCTATAAACTTTGTCACTGAGGAGGACAAGCGGATCCTTCGGGATATTGAGACTTTCTACAATACTACAGTGGAGGAAATGCCTATGAATGTGGCTGACCTCATTTAATCCCTGGGATGAGATGTTTTTGGAATGCAGTGCTCGCTGTTGCTGACCAGGCGATCCACAACGTGCATTGTGCTTCTTGGGGGATACATTGAATCTTGTCTCAATGCTCATTACGGATCAGAAATACAGATTTTTGATAAGCAAAGCGACATTTTGTCGTGAGCTTTTGTGGGGGAGAGCCATTGGCTTTCTCCTCTTTAGGGTTTAGACTGTTGGGGTTGGGTGGAAAGTCATGGGGTCTGTAAATTTTTTCTTTATTAGAAATTTATTTCCTAGTTCTGTAGAAGTGGTAGTGCTAGATGTTCTTTATCATTTAATAATTTACTTATGGACTAAAAGATATAAGTGCTGTATAAAATCAGCCAATTATGTTAAACTAGCATACCTACCTTTATTGTATGTTATCCTATATTAGAGTAAATTGGAAAGGCCTTTCAAAATGACTAATCTTTTATAAGAACATAAAAATGCATTTTTGTTTGGTATGTATTTATTGAATAAAGTATTTAATTAGTGTTAAGTGTGATCTGGACCCTGTTGCTAAACCCTGCAAGCAATCATTACTATTGTCTTAGTTAGGGTTTAGACCCATTAAATCGCCATATTGCACATGTCTTAATGAAGTTTGAATGTTCAATAAAATATTATATATTCACTTCATTGGATGAATTGGATGCTTTTTGGAAATTGGCAGTCCGATATGTGTTTCAATATACTGCCAGATATGTATCTCCAAGTGTGCCACATTCAGTTATACATAAGTAGCAAATTATTGATTTGTGTTCTACTGTCTGCCTAGTGGAGCTAGTGGTATATATGTAGTCTTTAACTTACGACTATTGAGCCCAGAATTACATTCATAAATCATGCCAGTCATTAAGCAGTCATCAAGTGACAGATTTGAATGTATACAAATAGCTGTAAATGCTGGCATAGCAGAGGGTAGCCATCAGGACTTCAAAACCAGGTAAATAAGTAACTGGGCAGAGGCATCAGTCAAGGACTAAGTATACCTAATATTGAGTGAATTTAAGGCTTTGCTTTTTCTGCCTAAAAATAAATTACTTTAAATGATTTAGAGTTGGAGAAAGCTAAAGACCAAGGTTACTATGACTCTACTAATACAAAAAGTTTGACTTGCCTGAATTGTAAGAGTATGGAATGCATCTCCAATGTTCATAAACCCAAGAAGCACTTTGAGCAAAAAGTGTATTTAGGTTAGTGGGAAACTATTGGCCAGGTTGCCAATCTTGTTTTACAATTTTTCCTATTTTGCCGTATTTTATCACTACGTTCTAATGAAAGATGTTTAAAAGCTTGCCAGACTGCTGAAATGTTATTAGCTATAAAATTGAGTTCAATGCTTAACCTGTAGTTCATTTAGTTAAAAACTTAGCGGTCTAAATTTTTTTTAAAGTTAACCTAAATTTCAAATAATCAGAAGCATGCCTTTACAACTACTGGCCCTATCCTTTTTGTGCTGGAATAGGGCGAGCTCAGTGGGAGGGAGAGAGAGATGGGTTACAGTTCTATCATTCTATTTTTTGCTTTGATTTAGCCCAGGGGGTCCCCAATCTTGGCAACTTTTAAGACTTGTGGATATCAACTCCCAGAATTCTCCAGTCCACAAGTCAGTTGCCAAGTTCGGAGACCTCTGGTTTAGCTTAATATGTACAATTGTGTGAAAAAGTCCTGCACGCTTTGAGTTTTAAGCTGTATTTGCATGTTTAATCAACTTTTCACTCATAGAAACCACGCAAAACTAGTACTTCGATGAAAATTTCTGTAGTTGGATTGAGATGCATAATTTTTATTAATATAACCAAAGTCTTTAAGGTTTTGAGCGAGTTTATGTGCTAAAAAAGAGAATGTTAGGATCAAAAGTAGCCAATCAGCAGCAAGCTTTGGCTGACCAAAATGCGCGGAGGCTAAATCTATGAGCCAATCAATGTTGTCATATTCTGACTAAGCATGAAAAGCTTCGAGAAATTTAATTTAGCTCTGGCTGCGGGTAAGGATGAAGGCCTTAGCTTTCATTAGCACTGAGCAGCGGCATCATATCATTGTGCTTCATGAAGAGGGTTACTCCTGCACAGAAATAGCCAAGAGAGAAATGCCAACGCACCACAGTGAGCAGAGTGGTTGAAAAATACCAAATAACTGGTTCAGTTGACAGGCTCCACTCTGGAAGACCAAGGAAGTCAACAAAATAGCAAGATCGGGCTCTGCAATGCATTTTGATGGCTGACAGGAAGTTCACCTCACCTCAGATTGTAAGAATTTGAGGTGAAACGTGTAAAAGTGCACAAGCACATTGCGTTGCAGACTGCTTGCCAGAGGGCTCAGGCTGCAGGGCTTAAAGTAAATCTTTCCTCACAGACGTTCACTGTTCTCAACGTGTGTGGGTCAAGAAGTATGCCAAGTGGACCAACGAACAGTGAGCCAAGGTCATCTTCAGTGATGAGAGCAAATTCTACTTGACTGGGAATCAGTGCAATAAGTATGTCAGAAGATTTCCAGCTGAAGAATTTAGGCCGTACTGCCTGAATCTGAAGCACCCATTGCATGTGATGATCTGGAGTTGTATCGCTGCTTTTGGTATTGGTGGGATACAAGTTGTGCAGGGAATCATGAATTTCAAGCAGTTATGTTGAAGTCCTGGAAAAGACCATGCTCCCTTCAGCTCAGCAACTTGTAGGGAAGGACTTTTACTTCCAGGATGACACAACGCTCCTTGTCATCGAGCCAAGTCCATCCAGCAGTGGATGAAGAAGCATGGTGTTCGACTCCTGGATTGGCCAGTTCAGAGCCCAGATTTGAACCCAGTTGAGAACTTGTGCACCAAGATAGGTTATGAAATAAGAAGCATCCGAAGACCAAGAAGGAGCTGACTGAATCCATTACTGCAGCCTGGCACCACATTGTCGCCAAAGATCACATGCAAAGGCTTATACAGTCTATGCTGAAATGAAGCTGCCTGGTAATAAGCAATAAGGGCTGGCCAATTTCATATTAGTATAACCATGATTGGTTACCTAAACAGTCCTTTTCAGGGCCACAAAACAATAAAAATGTTAACAAAACACCAGCATCAACCTTAGTAATTGCAACACATATGCCACTGGGTATGCATCAATTAATCTGTTTTCATAGGCATTGTAAGCATGCAAGAAAATTCACAATCCCCATCCAAACAGCACCAAATTGCAAAGAGCTTATGCTTTTCACTTAAAAACCTAGTATTTAAATATAATAATAGCAGTTAGCATAAAATATCATAAAATCAATGGCCTATCCAAAAAATGTCAAAGCGTGCAGGACTTTCACACAGCTGTAGTTTGCATTGATTTGATTTTTAAGGTGGGCAACTGCAACAAAACGAAGTTGAAATACAAAAATTCAGAAGTGTTGACAATACTGTGAAACAAGTTTGTATTCTGGATACAGAAAAGAATTTGCTAAGAAAATGAGAAATCAAGCAATTGATTGAAATCAAGCGTTATGGGGGAGGATGTGTACCAACAAAGCCCAGCTATATTTAGCTCTGTGTGGTTGAGTTTTGGCAAAACTAGAGATTCTGTCATTCAGGTCATCCTTCCAAATGTGTTTTTTCAGGAGCCACTTGGAGAGTTTTTTCTTTTGAAGACTTGAGAAAGTTCACTTCTCATCCAAGAAGCTTCTTCAGCTGTTGACAGGATAAAGGGGAACGGAAGGATTTATATTCCTTGCAGACAGCTGGTCATTTGCATCCTTTTGGAGTGTGAAAACTCCGAAAAATGTCACTGAGGGCTGCATCAGGGCTGTGGTTGAGTGTGTGGCCAGTGGGGAGCGTGGCCAGCTTGATGCCACTTACTGGGCGTGACTGGCTTGACACCACTCCCCGTTGCTGGCATGTTTCCTCTTCGCGTTGGATAGACTGGGCCAAAACTAGGATGGCCCTGCAGGCCAGATCTGACCACGGCCCTTGTGTTTTGACAACTGTTTTAGACTGTCACTGAAGCACTTGGTTTATCTGTGTCCTCGGGATCATCTGAGTAGTGCTTCTGATTGAGTTTTGGCAGAAATAAAATCTGAAGAGATGCCTTGAGGATGACTAGTACACAACTAGTGCTTTCTACTTAATATGGATTTTGTCATGCCCGTTAGAATCTGACCCTGAGGAGGAACAGCGAGTGGGAGTGTGGCTCCGGACGTTGTGGAGGAAACGGGGGAAGGGCATAGGCTGGCTGGGCATTCAGAGGAAGACCCAGACCCATCCCCTCTTCATCCTAGGGCACACAGGGAGGAACAGATAAGGGAGAAATGTGAATAGTGTGGTCTATGGGGGAGGAAAGGCCTTGATCCCCTTCATGGGCTGCAGCACTGAGGACTGTTTAAAAAGACAAACTGCGCTGGAAGCAAAGTGTGAAAATATTTCCAGTCTTATCAGTTCTTATCTGAGTTCTGGTGTCCTTTCCAGTGTGTATTTTGATATCTGTGGACTTGTTCAAGCCCTTATCCTGCCTTGTCTCATTGTCTTCAGTGTGGTTTGTGTTGTTTTTTTATTTATAATTTATATGTATTTTGAGTTTGAAGGGAAGTTCTTCCTTTTAGCAACTGTCTGTGGAGGAGTTTTTTCTCCAGTCAATAATTGGACCTTTAAAGCCAAGTTGAAGGAATTAAAGGGACTTCACCTGTTTTTGTGATTTGTTGCTTTTGTAACCCACCCTGGGTCATCACAGATTTAAACCTACCTTGCATCTTCCATTCTCTTACATCTGTCATAAATCTGCTTGTGTTGCCTAAAACAAGTTAGGTATATTTAAATATTTTATGATCTGGAGCATTTGTTAATTTCTTTCACCTCTTTCACTACTAAAAACAAAACTTAAATGCTATTTTTTTTCAATTTCAAGAAAATGATTTAAAACATTTTTTAAAGTATTTACCAATTTTATTAGATAGCCTCAGATTTAAAGTTAAGGCTTTAGGCTTAGGTTTTATAGGAACCATTGTGTGATGTAGCCTCACAGAAAATGTCCTAAGCCAGCAATTCCCATAGCATGGGGACTCCTGAAGATCCAGTCAAATATTTTAAGTTTGTCAATTTTTAATACTGTCAATATCAAATATCAATATAATCCACATAAAACATTTTAATAATGTAAAGGGGACCTGTAGCAAAAATGTTTGAAATCTGCCCTAATCTAAAGCCATATATTCTTGGTTTATCCAATTGTGTTTGTGCATGTGTGTGCTTTTAAGTCAGTGTTGACTCATACCAAGTACAGTATCCCTGGGAAGAAGTCAGAAGTAGTTTGCCAATTCCTAGGGCTCTGTGTGTGTGTGTGTGTGTGTGTGTGTGTGTGTGTGTGTGTGTGTGT